AACAAAATGATAACTTTTCACTATATTTTTTGTACAATTCTTTAGGGGGTCTTAATACTTGCGACATTTTTTAGAACCACTTTTTTTTTAAATTTATATACTACTAATTTAGAGGAGTTATTTGGGATTTGCAACATGGAATAATCCACGTGATTTCTCGCATTGACAAGATTAAATTTAATTCCGGAGTTTCAATTCCTATTTCATTATCTATAAAAGGTTTAGATATATGTGTGTGACTGAAAAAAATAATATTTACAAGAAACGTACAAAATGTCATTGCAATCCTCAAATATAATAGGTATAACATTTAAAAGTTTTAATATTATTGGCAAAATTAATATACACCATAATTTATCTTTAACAACATTCTAAATCATGACGTACACAATTTGGGTTCTTGACATATTTAACTGGGTATTGATAAAAATTAAAGGAAGAATTGGATGGGAGGCTAATGAATAAATATGTGTAGACAACTGCTGGTACCAATTAGTCCGTTTTATAACAAATTATCCATTAGCAATAAAATTCGGAACTAAACAAAGGAGATGAAAGTGGACTAATTTTACTAGATCTTTATGTGATAGTTGGGTGCTCTTATATCAGATATTACAAAGATATTTTATTATTATTCTCTGAATGTGCATTCAATTTTTAATTTGTAGCAATAAAATTAAATATTCTTTGGAAATTCGAAATTAAAAAAACAATAATTTATCTTTTATTAAAATGATATCAAGAGAGAAAATAATAAAAAAAAAATTAAAAAAATAAAAAAGGTCTAATATATTTTACATTAAATCTTGTGTAATCATATTTTCAATTTTAATATCCTTTTCCCATGCAATATCTCTTCCTCCAAAAAACCCAAATTTGATCTTGAATTTAATTTTATGAGAAACGTTAATATAATGCCTATCGATACTATGTCTAACCGACTTAAGTATTGTGTCATTTCGTGGGGGAATTTCAAATTTTACATTAGATTTATATTCATTATTATGATCCAATTTATTTTTAATTTCATTATCTTTAATAACACTTTTTAAAACATATTTTTTAATACGTTTACGTGCGAATTTAACTCTAAATTTGATTTTTTGTTTTACTCCTAAAATTACTTCTTTAACTTTTAAATTAGGGTTATAAAAAATCAATCCAAAATTTATAATAATTGGATTTAACTGACTAAATACATTATGCTCCAATGATAAAGAATATCCAA